GGGGGGGGGGGGGGGGGGGGGGGGGGGACACAGACGTCAAGGGAAAATGTTTTGCAGCAAGAAGACACGCGAAGGATAAACGGTCGGGGTCGGGAACGGTGATCGTTGGTGGCACGAGTATATGACGACACGGTGTTGATTTGATTTGAGTCTTTTCTCTTTTTTGCAGTTCTATGGCAGTCTGAACACGGAGGTGTAGGCCCTGCCGTCGTTCGACTTCTCCGCGTCGGTGGTGGTGATTTGTGTGCAAGACGTGCATACAAACGCGCTCCATACCCAAGACGAGACCTTTCACACACCCGGCAACAAGACCGTTGACTCAAGACCGTCGACAGAAGACCGTTGGCACAAGGCCGTTGACACAAGACCGTTAACTAGACCGTAAACTAGACCGTTGTCGGTGCCTGAACAAGCCACTAAGCGGTTGCGCTTTTCGACAACAGCTGTTTGCTCTCTCTCAAACCACGAAGAATCTCTCTGATGCGCAGGCAGGAACGCGCGCGCACACACAAGGGGGGGAGATAGGTCGTGAGGATGCACGCAAAAAAGGCACACCCCACCCCAGAAAAAAATCAGACTTGCGCCGTGCTTCGTCACCTGTTAAAGGGTTCCATGTCATGTGTTCAACGATTCTTCCACCACATTTTCAACGATCCATGTCATGCGTTCAAATGCTCTCCTTCGTGTCTTCAAAGTTCACTCACCCGTAGGTGCCGATGACGGTGGAGCTGGGCTTGTCTGTAACGGCGCCTTGCACCCCGCCGAAGTCCACGAGAAACACGCGGCCCCCGGAGCTGCCTCCCTCGATCACGATGTTCTTATCATCGTTCAATCAGGAAAAGGTTAGATAGAAATGAGGAAGCGAAATAAAACAAACCACTAACGTTGATGAGAACAACGAGGCGCAACGTCGATTCAGCTTGCCAATGTGTGACACACAAAACCGTTTCTAAGCCTTGGGTTGTCGAACTGAGAGAGACGACGACGAATGCAATGGAGGCGCCGGGGGGGGGGNGGGGGGGGGGGGGGGGGGGGGGGGGGGGGGGGGGGGGGGGGGGGGCACAACACGCCGGTAGGTGTATGTATCACAATGCCACTAGCTGAGCTCGCAGCACCTGCACAAATACGCGCACCGCTGTCCCTCCCTCCGTCGCCCAAGCAAGGTCTTCTTAAATGCTCCCACAAGAAGCAATCGGCATGCATGCCGCCTTGACCGGAAACCCTCGAATCCTAACAGTTCCTCCCCGAGTTGGTGTCGCAAACAAGACGTCGACACGCGGTACATTGGACGCCTCAGGCAATTTCGACCGCCGTTCTTCGAACGAAAGGCACTCCATCCAAAATCGGCGGAGGCTACTACCGTTCCATATGTATACGTTTCTTAACGCTTAGGAAACATACACTGCTGTTGTGCGAAGCATCCCCGGAACTTGCGTCTCACCTCCGGCTTCAAGTCGCGATGCACGATCGCCGGCCGCAGGCCGTGGAGGTACACGAGGATCTCTAGCACCCTCTCCGCAATCCGCCGAACCTCGGCCTCGGTCGGTCTCCAGCCGTCTTCCACCATCTGCCCTAGCGTTCTCCCCGGAGCTGCGGTGTCGTCATCGTCGTCGTCGTTAGCGTTGCCGACCGGTAACATGTGCGGCGACATGGCGGAGGGCGGAAGGGGGGGGGNGGGGGGGGGGGGGGGGGGGGGGGGGGGGGGGGGGGGGGGGGGGGGGGGGGGGGGGGGGGGGGGGGGGGGGGGGGGGGGTCGTCGTCGCCGATTTGGTTGGTGTTTTGCCGACCGGAAACGTGCACGGTACGAAATATGTGGTGGGCGTTTTCAGGTCTATCTGGCCTGCCAGGTATCGTCATCCTTGGTCGGCCGCCTCTGTCTCCATGTCTGTGTCGCAGTCGGTGGTAGTTTGTCAATGGTGATGCTGTCGTGGATGTGTCAAGCGTAAAGATGGAGGGGACAAGAGTATCGAGGGAGGAGGGAAGGCAGGATTTGTCTTCGAATGACCGGAGCCCAATCACAGCACTAGCGTTTCTCGGCACCGCTACATCTCGATGGCCAGCAGTCGGGGACCAGGCGCTTGGAAACCAAGGGCGGCTGGCTTTCTCTTCATTGTGGAAAGCACTTTGGTCGAAACGCCAATTAAAGCGAGAAATTACGCCGTTACCTGTGTATGGATCTGCGCGGCGTGTTCGAGACGCCCATCAAACACGACGGCAAGCGGTCAGAGTCAAGCAGTGTCCGAAGACAAGGGAACGCTCGCTGTATACGCACGTGATTACGCGCGTACATGACTTCGTTTCTATAAGGCACTGCCGTCTGCCTGGAGCTTCAGTAGTATCTACCCAGAGGCAGTCTCGTTTCTATTGTATCCCGGCCAAGGGGGACAGCTACAGCAGCTACAAAGGTGCGCGTGTTCCACCGCTCCGCTCTAGCTTGCCCACCTAGCTGTTGCACCAGAAGAAATGTCTTCCCTCGCTCCTCGCTCTCCTCCTCGAAGCAGTCCAGGTACCTGTCAGGCAGTTGGGTACGAGGAGGGGGGGAAGCTGTACTCGTAGCAAAAGCATGGTCGCGGCGTAGGAAAATTATGCCCAGGGTTTCGGATGGGACAATGGGGCGGGGAGGCGCTAAGCTGACTTTCGCTTCTCCAAACCGTGTACCGACAATACGTGGTACAGTAGGCCGGGGGGGGGGGGGGG